GATGGAATAGAATGTGGGAAAGTGTGAGGTTATGCATTTTGGTGGAAGAATAGAGACATAGTCTATTTCCTTTACCCTGCTTGTGATGGTCTTGACATTTGTTTGGGGTTTGCCCTCTGGAAAATGCACCCTACACACTTCCGCCTTAGACATACGTCTTTGCCACTGAGTTTTCATTTGAAGTTTGCCATGCCTCAACTAGGTCTGTAAGGTATTGCACAGCAACATGATGGGGAGGAAAGCCTTTTGGCCGGAGTGACATGCTCAATACCTAACTAGTTTGTGTGGAAAACTTTTGTTGATGCAAGAGATATCACATCCAGAACCTAAGAGCTAGGAAGTATGTAATACATTAACAGCCTTAACAATCTGGACAAAGGAACTGAGGGCATTGTTGCTTAGTTTGCAGACGACAGGCTGAGGAAGCAGGGAGGCTGCAGAAGGACTTGGACAGGCTAGGAAAGTGGGCAAAGAAATGGCAGATGGAATACAATGTGGAACAGCGTGAGGATTTGCATTTTGGTCGGAAGAATAGAAATGTAATCTATTTGCTAAATGGAGAAAGAATTTGGAAATCTGAAGCACAAAGGGACTTGGGAGTATTAGTTCAGGATTCTCTCAGGGTCTGTACTCCACAAGAGTTTAGAAGGTTGAGGAGGATCTCATTAAAACTTACAGAACACAGTGGCCTGGATAGAGTGGAGGTAGAGATGTTTCTACCAGATATTGAATGTACTTAAGACAGAGATAGATGGGTTCTTGATAGTTTAGGGGATCAAGGGTTATTGGGAGAAGGCAGGAGAATGGGCTTGAGAAACATATCAGCCGTGATCAAATGGCAGAGCAGATTTGAAAGGCCAAATGGCCCATTTCTGCTCCTATGTCTTATGGTTAGTGGCCCAGAGCACTCAAGATCAGACTCAGTCATCAGTCACTGAAACCACCATGGGTGGGCAATCCCTATAATAAGGGAACAGGAGTTCAAATCCCATCATGGTAGATCAAAGATCTGGAACTGACGTTGTAAAAAAAAATCTGGAAATACAAAATTTGTGCCAGTAAAAGGAGCTCATAAATTTATGTATTTTTGTAACATCCAACCTGGGTTGGTATTTTAGGGAAAGAAACCAGACATCTGGTCTATTCTCACGTAGCTTAAGACAATAAGAAGCCACAGTAATAGGCACATGGCCTTTTGAGTCTGTTGCATCATTTGATATGACCATGACTAATCTATTGCCTCAATACCATCTTTCCTAATCATATCTCTCAATTCTGAAATTGAAAGAAAACATCCACACAGTCCTAAATATATTCAATGCTGGTGCAATTGGTTGTGGGCAAGTGTGTGGGTGAGGGTGCGGGTGCGGGTGTAGAATTATATAGATTCAAAATCCCGAGTGAAGAAATTTCTCCTCACTCAGTCCTAAATGATTATCCTGAAACTGCAAACCCATATTTAAAAAACCTCTGTGTCAAACCCTTTCAGAATCTTGTTTCAATGAGATCACAACTGATTCTTCTAAACTTCAGACAATGTAGGCCTAGTTTACTCAGCCTCTCACGGAACAACCTTGATATGCCACGAACCAAACTAAAAATTTATATTACAAAATAACTAACAAAAGGATTGTCTTCGGAGGAGAAGCTAGACCTGTACCCTCTGTGGTTCTTGAAGAGTCAGAGGCGATGTAATTGAAACATTTAGGATCCTGAGGGGACTTGATTGGGTGAATGTGCAAAAAATGATTCCTCTTGTGGGAGGATGAGGGAACTAGAGATGTAGAATCCTTAGATTCACTACAGCGTGGAAACAAGCCATTCAGCCCAACAAGTCCACATCAACCCTCCGAAGGGCATCCCACCCAGACCCATCCCCTTACCCTATCTCTGTAGCCCTGCATTTCCCATGACTAATGCACCTAACCTAAACATCCCTGAACACTATGGGCAATTTAGCATGGCCAATCCACCTATTTCCACATCTTTGGAATGTGGGAGCGTGCAGATACAGAGATATTGAGCAAACTCCACACAGACAGTCAGCTGAGGTTGGATTCAAGCCTGGTCGCTGGCACTGTGAGGCACCATTGCTAACCACTGAACTACTGTGCTGCCCTGCACTGACTTCTCCCAGAATGCTTCTCTGCGAAGTCTCTCTGCTGTCCTTTATTAGATGCTGTTCCTCCTGCTTATCACCAGGATGGTTCTTCTGCACTTCTCTGATCACTCACGGTGACTGCACCAACTTCTCCTAGAATGCTCCTCAATGAAGTCACTCTGCCAACTTCCTCTCACAGAGGATCAAGCGTCTTTGAAACTCCCCCCTCAAAATCTTTAAATATTTTTAAAGGCAAAGGTCAACAGTCTTGATTACCAAAAGGATGAAAGATTATTGGGTGCATCCAGGGATATGAATTTGAGATCAGATATGATCTAATTGAATGACAGAACAGACTCAAAGGGCCAAGTGGTCTGCTCTTTTTCTTCATTTGTAGCAAACCTTCACTCAACTTACTGCCTCCAAGCAGAGAATAACTTTCCTTATGTATGAAGGCAAATACTGCACACATTGTATTTCTGGTGACTTCAGATGTACACCAAGCAAGCAACTCTGAATGGTAAACTATCCAAAACAACACACACAGGCTGTAATAGTCAGGGTGGTGACACATTGCCACTTGCACCAGACAACAATACCAAGCTTGCCAGTTATGTCACATCTAGAGAATGGGAAATCAAAAATATTCTACAGCAAGCATAACATTTTGAAGGTACTCTAGCCACTCTAAATCATTTCTACCTATCATAACACAAGCTGTCTCCTCCAAACCCCACATAATTATCTTCAGGGTCTTCCTAAGATCCATTCTTGTCACTATCCCAGTCCTTGCTTTTCTGCTGACCACAGACAGCAGTTGTAAACGAAGTGACCACAATCAAATTTTATCCCGTGCAAATATTGGAAATGGAAGGGGTTGAATTGATAAAGCACCTTTCATGACCACAAGGTATATGTTTAATGTGTAACTACTGCTTGTAATGTTAGTGCCAACTTATGCCACAGAGGTCCCACAACGAGATAAACTATTTTGGGCAATGCTGGCTGACGGATAAACGTTGGTTAAGATACACCTGGAGGAAACCCACGCAAACATGGGGAGAATGTCTGTGTGGAGTTTGCACAGTCACCCGAGGGTGGAATCGAACCCAGGTCCCTGGCACTGTAAGGCAGCAGTGCTAACCACTGAGCCACTGTGCTGCCCAGAGTGTGGTAGTTTTATCACCAACATCTGCAGCATTACCCTCAGTGGCTCCCTAGTCCCATCATCCTACTGACAAAAACCTCCTCCCACAACTATCTTTTTCTCATTTATTTGGGAGTGTTGGCTAGGTCACATTAATGGCTGATC